ATTAAAATCTATTAATGGCCAATTAAATAATAACACCTATGACGCGACTAACCTTCAACTACTGATTCCGTTGCCGTCCACATAAATATCCAGCAAGCGTACTAACTTGTTGAATCCACTTTTGACGTTCATTTTAGCAATAATTTCAAAAATAGGTTCATTTAATAATGAATTATTAATATCAATAAAAAAAATTTTATACCTTCGATATTTCTCTTGAAGGAAGCGATTTAAAAAGTTTTATCGAATTTGTTCGCATTTTAATTCCATCAGATTTTATGTTAGAAATTAAATCAAACTTTTTTTTGATAATGCATAAATCATAAATGTTAGTTATTCAAGTTTGTTTAAAGGATTTATTAACTTCTAACGATTTTAGATTCCATAGTTACCTTTTGAATATTCCGTAAATGGTTCCAAGTATCAGTTATGTATATTCTTAAGAAATTTCAGCGGCAAAAATCCATTAATATAAAAAATAAATTTTCTAATAAAAAAAAGAGAAAAAAAAAAATCAACAAATCTCGGTTATTAACTATAAATTCGATTTCAATAAGTCATACCAACCTTTCAGACATCTAAGTCTTGTAGCTTTTTTTTTATTAAGTCTGTGATCTCCGACAATGTTCCTGTTTTATTTGAATTAGATTGACTTCATCTGTAGATATATAAACCTGTAATAATATGTTGAATTATTATTATGTAAAAACTTTTCAATAAACTTTGTCGGTATTAAAACCAGCTGTAAAAGACTAATAAGATTCAATAAAAAATTTTTTTTTATTACCAATACAAATATTTCCATTTAACTCGAGGCCATCGTCAATTTATTAGTTTCTTCACTTTGCCCAGATTAAATTGTTGGCAATTTCATCAGAGAACTGTTCAAGTGGATAATGTACAAATTCAAAACCTATTAATTAAATAACAAAACTCAAATAAATTGAATATAATTTATTATTAAAAAATACCTCAAACTAGTTCTCCAAACTTCACTTTGTCGGTATTTAGAAAAAAACGAAAATTTCCGACACCCACACCAGAAAAATTTACCATTTTGATTAATTAGTCAACTCTTCAATAATACTTTCATCAAAATTAAAGTTTATTATATCCTCTAAACATGGAGTATACGAAGTTAAATATTTGTATTTGAAAAAAATAGCTTGTAAAAATGTGTGTAAATATTTTAATAGTTTACCTGAAGATGAGTCTGATGCAACAAGAAAGCATTACAAATGGAATTTTATTCGAAGATTTTTCTTGACCTTTATCATTAAAAACTAAAATTATTTCGAATCCTTGAAAATTTTTAATAAGCATCACCAAGAAAATGACATCATACACTTGTTTTCATTTTTGAAATTATAATAGATGTCGTTATGAAAAATATTTGATTAACTTTAATCATAAACCAATAATCAATAACGCATCAAAATGGAAAATATATTCTTCAATATATCTGTCATTCGAAAGTCTACATTAACATCAACTTTCGATAGATTTCCTTTTGTCAGCTGAAAAATAATATTCGCCTAGTTTATATGCTAATTGATATCGGGAATATGTTATTTATCTATATAAAGGTTGGATTAGAATAAAATTCGCATACTGGTTAATGAAAAATCAAATCATGTTACCAAAATGTTGTTTTTATTATAGAAAAATTTCCAATGATTAACTAATTTTTCACTATCAAATCCATTCCGAAATCCATGCCTTATATGAACATTTGTATGTCCCTGATGGATCATCAAATATTATTATAATTCCTACCAGAAATATTCAACACTGCTTTGAATTGCGGGTCCTGATTTGATGCTCCATGTCTAATAATGTAAAGAAATTTAATAAAGTCTGAATTACAATATTCGCGAAAATCTCAATGCTCAATTTGTTACTTACCTATTCCGACAAGCGCGTTCTGACTAATGCTTATAAAGTTACGAATTAATAAATCATTTGTTTATGCACTCTAGTAATCGCGGTGGATACCGTTGTTATACTTATAACGGATGATGTCAATATAACACGCTCCATTGTCTGTCGTCTAAGAAATTAAGCTCAGTCAAATAACTTGTGAAGAGTGTAAATTTAAACGTTTATACAATGCCTAACGAAATTGTCTGGTTACCTCTTCATTTTAGATATTAATTTAGGAGAATATTGTACCAACGAATATTTCTCCACAGCTTCTGTTACATGTATTAGATTTAATATAGGAAAGTTTAACATTGTAATTATTAAAGCTTATAATATAATGGCTGCTCCGTGCTACTATGAAAATCTATAGCATGCTTTATTTTTTTTTTTTTTGTTTAATAAACAGTTTCCTTTTACAAAAAAAAAATTCCTATTTTGGCTATTTGTACTACTCCATCGTCCGGCCATTTTCTTACCTCTTACCTCCTATCTCTTA